ATATATATATAAAGTAATAAATATATAAAATTAAGTATTAAGTAAAATAAATATCCAGTCATTAAATTTTTTTAGCTGTTATTTTGATACAAATTTAAATACTTATATTAAAAAAATAATAAATAGAGATAAAAGTTTGGAAAGGTAACCTAAACTAACTCAACTCGATCTTAATTGAATTACTTTAGTTTAAATGTTTTTTTTTCCTTCAAAATTTGAACCAAACCTCAAATTAAAACATGAATTATTCAATTTGATTTTATCCTAAATTTCAACCAATTCAAACCACCGAAATTCTTTTGTAGGTCAATTCATATTCAATTTTATTTTATAAAATTTTTTACTCTTTTAATCTATACTATCATATAAAAAAAAAATTTCTTTTGGTAATTTTTTTTATCTTCACGTTGGACCATTACACCATTAATCCTTCAATTAATATTTAATAAATGTAGAATAATATATATTAATTATTATTTATACTATTTATTTAATAATAATAAATATATGTATAATTTATATGGACTCTTAAAATTATATCTGTATATGCTAATAATAAAGAGGATATACAGATTTGATGTACATAGATTTTTTAGACTAATTATGCAATCATCCCTGAATTTTGACATTTATTTATAACTTTTAACTGTTTTATATTTTTAATAAAAAAAATCAACTCTCATATACAATTAAACTTAACTCTAAAAAAATAAAATATAAATGATAACAATTCAAAATTTTAATTTTAAATTTATAAAATACTATTTAGATGTAAAACGATATTATTTATCTTTACGATACTGTTTATATTCTTTAGAATTAAAAATGTTATATTTATTTAGAATTTTTTTTATTCTTTTAAAAATAAGATGTTAATCCATAAAACTAGTAAAAAAGATTTCTCAAATTTCTCCAAAATCTTGTAGGAAGAATTTGTTAAATTTATCTATCACATCAATCAATTCACTCACAAACTTTCATAAACTTTCTCTACACTTTCCACTCACTTTCCCTTAATCCAAAGAACCTCACTTTCCACTCACTTTCCCTTTAAATCCTTCCTTTTCCACTCTCATTTTTTCATCCTCAAATTCAACAAAGCATTTAGTGTTGGTATTGAGGTAAAGAAGTAAGAGTTGGAAGTTGAAATCCACCTCTAACACAATTTCTATCACCCCACAACAATTACGCTCGCCTAGTTAGTAGTAACACAAGACAATGGAAAAATGAAATTATTAAACCTTTTAATTTTTTTTATTATATTTATTTATCTACTTTATACATTATCTTTACACTCTGATTCATCACAGTACTCACACATGATCTCTTTCATTCGCTTTCCTTCCTATTTTTCTGACTCTTTCTAGGAAACCTCACGTAGTGTGGAAAAAACAATTTCTTCATTAATTGTTTAAAGAAAAGTTGTTCCTATATATCATGCGTAAATCATTTTCTTTATGAATAATTAACTTTCGTATTGTGAACGCTCAAAACTTTTGCCTTAGGACTATATATCCCGATCAATGCTCAATTGATCATGGCTTAGCACCAGGACACTAATGAACTTTGAACAATGACACACCGACAAGAATTTACCTTTCCTTTAAGATAACACGGAAGCGACCCAACAAAAGTCCATTGACTTGGATCAAATCAAAGAAAAAGAAGTCACCGGAAAAAACCAGAAAAAAAGCACAGGTCTACCAAGGAATTAATATGAAATTGTCCCATAAACATGAACGAATTATTAGACAGTTCAGGAAAAATTATTAGACATTTTATTATTCGAATGAATTATTATATGACATATATTTAAATTTTTTAGTTTATAAAAATAATAAATTAATAATACTTAACTATATTATATAAAGATACCAACATTGGTTGGTATAGAAGATATGATTTGTGTTCTTTGTTTAAGTTTTGAATCATTATAGAATATATAAGCTATATTTAAAAGGAAATATTTATCTTCTGTCTAATCACAATCCTTTATAGACATTAGTCACTATTTTCAACCATCAATATTTCGTATCGCTAACGTATATAGAGATTAATCGAAGATGGTGTCTTCCTTGATCACAGATAATTTCTCAAAAAATCCAAAACTCTAGGGTGGACTTCAAAATTTCCATGTTCATATGTTCTAAATTTTCTATGCTTCATACTAAAATACATCTTCCCCATTCGTACCATGTTTCCATGATTTGATGATGACTTTCCATCCTAGAAAAATCTTTCATCAGTATCATGGTTGATGGTTCAAGTGATGCTATTGCCACCATGAATCAGAAAACCAATTATGGTCCAATGCCTTCTCCTCTTCACTCACCAGTCTCAGTAACGTGGTTCCCTCCCCTCTTTGATGAAGATGATATGCATGATAAAAGCCATTTACTTATCATCATTGAGATTGTCATGGCTGCCACAGCATGCATAATTATTTTTCTCGCCACCTTGTACAAAATCCTAAGGTACTATTATTCAAGAAGATCCTACGTTAACAGAAGAAACCCCCCAATATTATTTGACATTCGTGGAGATTCTCCCTTTTCTGATGATGAGGAACAAGAACAAGAACAAGAGCAAGCCATTAGGCACCCCGTATGGTTCATCCACTCCGAGGGTCTCCAACAACCAATCATAGACTCCATCACAGTGTGCAAATACAGAAAAGATGAAGGGTTGGTGATAGAAACTGAGTGTGTTGTTTGCCTTGGTGAGTTTCAACATGAAGAGAGTCTCAAACTCTTGCCAAAGTGCAACCACGCTTTTCATGTACTTTGCATTGATACTTGGTTGAGATCGCACAAAACTTGTCCCTTGTGTCGTGCCCCTATTGTTCATGATGGTGCTGGTGAAGACTATGAGGCTGATTCAAGTGTTTCTAATATGAACCAAGGCATGGAAGAAAGTGTTTCTGATATGAATGAAGAAGATTCTAGTGATGATGGAATTCAAGTTTTGCTTGAGGTGAGTGACCATTATTCTTCAATTGTAATTGGATCTGATTCTGATGTTAGTACACAAGAATTTGAAGATGAAGAAGAACTCATGAAGAGGTGTTTCTCGGTGAATTCATCCTCTGATTCCATGGTATTTTGTGATGCTTTGGATTTAAATTTGGATGTTGGTATTGCTAAGCAGGGTAGTGAAAGTTCAATCGATTACAAACTGCATCAGAGGCATATCTCAATGAGGTCCTCTTCACATAACACAAAGTTCATGTTTTCCAGACGTAGCAGGAGCCAGAGTTCAATTCTTCCATAGTGAACTAGACGCATTGCCATCGAGGATATATTCACCTGCCAAAGTCGACCAAAAAGGAAAGAAAAATTTGATTCTTCTGTGATAATATATCCAAGTTTTTTGGCTTGCATGGTAAGGAGATAAATAATTGGGTTAATTGCACATGTTGTGATCCAAAATTCATGATTTTGCAAATTTTATTAACTAATTTTTTAATTCACAAATTTTCCATCTTTTAGTTTGTGGTTGATATAACATGTTGATCATTGATGTAACATATTTTTTATCAATGTAAATTGATTACATGATAAAAAAAATTATTAGGTAGTTATGAATTAAATGGTTCCTAATTAGTCAACATGATATGTAATTAAGTATTACTCCTTCCGTTTTTTTTTTCATAGTCGTTTTGTCAGAGTTTGTTGTTTTTTTTTCATTGTCATATTACTAAAATCAATGAGTTATTAATTTTTTTCTTCCATTTTTACCCTTAATAATTAATACATGTTTCCTGAATAATGTGTGTATTTATTTTTAATGTCTATCTAATTTTTCTCCAACTACTCATATAAAGTTAATATGCATTTATAAGAGCAATATGTTCCCAATAAAAACTATAAAAAAACAAAAAAAGAGACAACTATTTAATGGAGTAGTTCAACAGTCTAAAAAATGCAACAAAAAAAGGGTAAAATAGGAAAGTAAGTAATAAATATTTTTGAAAACTAAAATATCAATTATTTTCTTAAGTCCCGTGCAAAACCTTAAACGACTATGAAAAAAAAACGGAGGGAGTATTAAATTTTCTTGTAGATTGAAAAACTTAAATTCATAGCATGTAATGATTGATCGAGATCATAAATACTTAATAATCTTGAACTACCTAATAATATCTCGATAAATTAATGATGATAGAATATAATATAACAATAATGTGACAACATGTAACTTTAACGATCATTAAGTGTGATGTCAAAATTTGCAAAAAATTTGAAATTTGAATGATAAAATGTACAAATTCCTAAGTTGTATAACAAAATCTATGAAATTGTTAAACTTACATAGTAAAATGTACGGATGAAACTAAGTAATATGTATAATATTTTCAACCCACTCAATTACTTCATGATCCATATGCTTTTCACATCCATCAAACACATACTTGTAAAGATCAACATCATAAGTAAATATTCACATGAAAAAATTTCAACATGCATAATCTTGATCCATATCCATTTTTAGGGCTTAAATTGTATATCCTTTCGACCTTTTGTTGAGAGGGTATATCCTCTTGAAAATTCGTCAAGAGAGTGTATTCTCCTGAAAATTTGTTGAGAGTGTTCTGACTTAATTTCTACACCTTTCATGTTTGAATTCTTCATTAATCATATCTTTATTAAACTAAGTAATGATGTTAACACAAATTCATTTAAAACTTGCATTTAACACAAAATTTAGTCATTAATGATCATGATTGAATACCAAAATACGAAGTCCAATATTAAGTAAATCTTCACAAAATCCTAAAATTCTCAAAGGTTTATAAAAACATAATAATTTAGTATAAAATCTTTATTTTAGAATAAAGATGAACACATTATACACTTTTAAATATTTTGAATTTGGATGACGACTAAATCTTTTCTAGGATACTAGAACAAATTACATGTACTTATTTTTTTTTTCCTTTTCATTTTCCTTCAATTAGAAAATATAAGGTTTTGGACTGAATGTGTCGAGGTTGGAATCATGGTACCTTTTTCAGCAAGTGCAAGCAAAATTTTGGTAATTACCATTGAGGTCACCTCGTAAGCAATACCAGTGATATAGGTGTTGAGATGAATGTGGGAGTAGAAAAAGAGAGATTAGAAGTTTCAGAAATGATTAAAGAATAAATCAAAAATTCAATTTTGTGGAACTAAAATGAATTATTGAATTTTTTAGGAAGTAAAATTAAAAAAAAAATTGTAGAAATTTATTGGGACCTAGACTAAATATGACCTGGACTTATGAATTAATATTTAACTTATGATCCGCTTAAATGAAAATAAAGTAAATAAAAAGTATATAATAACGTATATTAAAAAAGAGATTATTTTTTAATTTTATGAGTTTTCTTTTCAATTCAATTTTTTTTTGTAAACAACTTTTTTTCCTTTTTGATATATTACGGATTCAATCTTAATTTCTAACAAGTAAGAACTTTTATTTGCATCCAAATGTGGCCTAATTAGTGAAATATTTATTAATTCTACGATTTCTACCTTATCATCAACACCATTAAAATGATTTCACTCAATAAATTTATTTGTAAATTTACCCGAAGCATTCACACAATAATTAATAAACAAAATTAATCAATAAACCTTAAACTTGTTCATCGAATAATTTTCTTACACTATACATTTTTTTTCCCTAGACCACAACTACACGAAGCAATCATAATTTCTATAAACAAAAAAAAAAAAACTTTTAATTGAGTACTGAATACCAATCCGATATATAAGCCGAAACAAGTCGTTAGCATGTCACGGAACACAAACCCAAATCTTTTGACCGAACGAGAATCCAATTTCAGACAACCCAACCCCAAAAAGAAGATTTTGTTCTGGTTTATCGCTATAAAATATGAAACTTTAATTGCATAAAAAATCTTTGTGCGCAAAGTTGAAGCCGTTACCAATCGTCTCAAAAGAACATACTTTTTATCTTCCTAAATCCTGGGCTTCGCGCATTAGCCTTAACTAATCCAAGAGGGAAAGAAAGTAGTTGTAGCTAAGTAGCTAACACCTCAAATCTCAATGAATGAATCCACCATAGAAGATGTAGCACTGTGGATAAATAAAGCAAAGGAAACAAACGTGTCTTTTTCATACTTGTACCTTTTACATTGCTTTTCCTAATTCTGTCTCTTTTTCTTCTCCAAAGTTCAATTCATGATGATCAAAACCAAGATCCTAGTTAACCAACTAATTATTTAATTATAATTAATAGTGGAAGAACCCCACAAGCAAAGTTTCCTTTTTCAGTTTACAAACTGTGTGAACGCTTTTGCCCTCACCTGTCCCACCCTACAAGGTTTTTTGTGCTTTTCTTTCATCCTTATTTCATTGGCTTCATTTTCATATAACTGGAGCATTCTTTTTTATTTTCTATTTTTATATTAATTTTCCTTTATCAACTGAGGAGTTGAGAGAAGCAATCCCAAAACCCAATCACCTTCTTATGTTTGTCAACAAAGTTGAATTTGGTATTACCTGAGAAATAAGGAAGGGATTGCATAGATTCATCACTCTCCAAGTTGGACTTTAAGGTGCTTTGGCTTTGAGTTCTCTCTTGTACATAATTGGGGCTTAGCTTTTTCTCATAATGGATCCAGCATTTTTGCTCTCTGGGTACTTTTGAAGCCTGCATTCTTGATGGGACTTGTTTTTACCAAATGGGCATGTGCATTCTTACTCTGCTGTTGTCTCATCACTTCTGGGGTATATTCAGGTAAGGTAAACTCTGTTAGCTTCTATGTTTCCTGCCTTATCCGTTATTTATTCTTCGAAAGCAATGTGTTGAGTCCATTATCTTACTTGTCTCAGTGGAGGGTTTACATGGGAGTTCTAATGTGAGAGGAGTGAACTTAGGAGGGTGGCTGGTTATTGAAGGTTGGATCAAGCCTTCACTGTTTGATGGCATTGCCAATGGAGACATGCTAGTGAGCTACTTCACATTTTGTTTATTGATTCATCTTTTCTTTAGTCTTCTGGGGTGTTAATAACTCATCTGGCTGATCTATATGTTGATATTGAAAAATGTAGGATGGGACAGAGGTTCAATTTAAGTCAGTGACGTTGCAGAAGTATGTATCTGCTGACAATGGAGGAGGAATGAATGTGACAGTTGACAGGGATGTCCCATCTTCATGGGAAACCTTCAGGGTAAGATGGAAATAGTGTTCTTCTTGTTTTAATTTTCCATCTGGTATAATATGTTGGAACGCAGTTATGGTGAAATGGTTAGTACTCATCCACTTGCTGAATTTATCCATTTCCTTGTATTATCTATTTGTTCAAGTTTATTTATCCATTTGAAGGCTTTTGATTTAGTAATACACCTTCTTTTTTTATTATGTGAACTTGAGTATCTTTCAAATTGAAAGTATTTTGTGGCAGACTGACTTGTGCCAGCTAAGGTGAGCTTCTATTGAAATTGACATGGTTTTCTTTGAAGAAACACAAAAAAATAGTAGTAAATTTGGAACCATCCAAGCTAATGTTAATTGAATAAATTATGCTTCTGTTGACCTGGACACAAATCCATAAAGATAAAACATTCAGAGGAAAGTGGAATTGTAGCTTAATTTTTCATATGATCTGCAGTAAGCTATATGAAAGTGAAATTCTAAAGAAAAATGCATCATAAATAATGTTCTCTGTCATAGTGAATAACCAAAGTACCAAACAACACTATAATGGAATAGGCTTCTTATGATTCAAAACATCTAACAAATTCTTGTTGTTAAGGATAGACTAAATCATTTGAAAATTGAAACAGTTTTTTCTGTTTTTACCTGATACATGGCTACCGGTGGTTAATAGTTTTAGTGCATTAGAGTTGTCCACAAGAATGAAAATCTAGTCCTACAGATTATCTTTATATAGCCATCTAAATTTTAAAAAAGGTGATTTGAATAATCTTGTATTGCCTTCAGTTACTTTATTCTCTTTAGTTTCATTTTCAGTTACTTTTAGGATGCAATACTGGCAAATGTTCCGGACTCAGTGGTGATAGCTAGTTTAAAAGATATTGGAATTGAAAACTTTATTCTAGACTGACTGAAGAATTTCCTTCAGATTTTTTAGCCTTGATTAGTTCTAATACAGTACAGCTGTATGCTAGTGGCTGTAATTCTTAGTTGGCATCTTTTTCCCTCCAACTTCTCAGTCTCACATGTGATTATATCTTGGAGGGTGAGAGTTACTTCCTTTTTTATGTGTAATTGAATAAATATGGTAGGCACCAGTAGTTTAGCAGGGACTCAAACATAACAATGGAATTGTAAGAGTTGTTTTTTCTAGAGTGATGTGTGAAAAACTGAAAGTTTAATATTTTTCCTTATTTCTGTTGCAGTTATGGAGAGTATCTAAGTCAGAATTTCAATTTCGTACCTCCGAAGGCCAGTTTCTTACATGTGATGGTGTAGGCAGCTCTGTCTCTGCAACAGCAAAATCCCCTTCAAAATCAGAGACATATGAAATTGAGCGGAATGAAAAGAGTAGGATTCACATCAAGATAAAGGATGGTGCATATCTTCAGGTATTCGTTCTTCTGCTTTCTACTAAATTGAAGTCATTTGCTTGCAAGTAAAATATAATCTTGTGTTTCCACATGACTCTCTTGTCACCATGTTGAAATTGAAAATAAGAAAGAAACGAAAAAAAAAAAGAAGAAGAGAATACTAAATGTGTCTTGATTCTTGAACATCATGCAATATGTTTTTATTCAGGACCTATGTCCAGTGCTGTAAAAAATAATTTTCAACATTTTTTAATGGGTTCTGCTTCAAGAACCATGTTAGAATCTAAATGTAAGGTACGAGACTTAAGTCTCACATTGGTAGTATGGAATTCTGATGTATGATTTTTTGGCCTTGGGCACTCCAACTACATTAGCTAACTTTTGTGGTGTGGCTCTAGATTCTTAATTCTTATCACACCAATACTATATTTAAGGATCTTTAAGATGGCATATAATATTACTTTGCAGTGTGTAAGATCATGTTGACATGAAATTGTAAATGATTTATTCACATGATTGAATATTCTGCAATATCAAATAGGCTACAACAGATGGTCACCTTACGGCAGACTACCCAGGTACACCAGGATGGGATGATAATGCTGCCACGTTTGAAATGACAATTGTATCAAATAGCTTGCATGGAGATTACCAGCTAGCCAATGGATATGGGCATGATCAAGCAAAGGATGTTCTTAGGGTAAAATCATATATTACAATTTTTTTTATCAATCATTATCCAGTAGTCCTGCTTGACTCGAACAGGGTTGCTTCAAATAGAGGATACCTGTAGTCTGTACCAAAAAATAAATAAATTATCTAGTGGCACAGTCATGCTTTTGTTGAACATGGTTTGCTTTAATTTTATAGAACATTTTTTATGAATATCTCAATGCAAGTTAGCAAAGGTCAAATATGTCACGGATTCTAGTGTACATAGTAGTTTGTTTTTTGGGGGATGGGGTCATTCTTTTGTTGTTGCACTGAAGAACAGGAAAAAGTCTCCACATATTTTTCTGTAATTTTGTTTCATCCAACTTGTTTATATTTAATTTATTCAAATTAACTTCTATCAATGAAAGCCATCACATACATAATACTTGCAAAATAAAATAGCAGATTGTGTTCTTTATTTGATTGTTCAGCTTTCTGTAACTGCAGAGACATAGAAATAGCTTTATCACCATAGAGGATTTCAAATTTCTATATAAACATGGAATAAATACTGTGAGGATACCAGTTGGGTGGTGGATTGCTTTTGATCCTGATCCTCCAGGTCCATTTATTGGAGGAAGTCTTGAAGCTCTAGATAATGCTTTTTCATGGGCACAGTAGGTTTTGAATTTGTTAAATTATCTTCAAGGTTTTTGGCACAATTAGAACTTTGTTTTTCCTTCTGATAATTGCCTAATGATCATGTTGCAGAGAATATGATATAAAATGCATAATTGACCTTCATGCTGCTCCTGGTTCCCAAAATGGGATGGAGCATAGTGCAAGCAGGGATGGATTTACTGGCTGGCCAACTTCTCCAGATTACATTTCTCAGTCATTACATGCTATTGATTTTTTAGTTTCTAGGTATGTTTAAGTGTGCAACATATTCTTAGATATTGTTCAAAGAGAAAATAGACTATGCCCTGAGTGTAAATTTTTTTTCATTATATATGATAAGTTTGTTAAATTTTACAATAACTACTTTAAAAGTCATACTAATGAGTTTTCAGATTTGCTGACTGTAAAAAGTTTTCACTGACAGTGCATGACAATTAAACCATTTTGGCTGAATACACTTGCTACGGTCTCTAAATATATTGAATTATGCACTGTCAATTAAACCATTTTGGCTGAATTCACTTGCTAGGGTCTCTAGATATATTGAATTATTTGCAATAAGAGGAATAGTTCTTAGCATTGAAACACTGAATGTGTCCTGGTCGGGTTCTCGTCCTAAGAAACAATGCCATTTATTATTGGATGCTGGCTTTATGGTTAAGTAAATGCTTTTGAATGTGTTTAGTTGTTTGCTTTACTAAACATTCTCATTTGCAGGTATGCAAGACATCCTGCATTGCTAGGAATTGAGCTATTGAATGAACCAGCTGCTGGCGCAGTTTCATTAGATGTTTTAATATCATATTACAAGCAGGGCTACCAAATAGTTCAAAAATACTCGTCATCAGCTTATGTGATAATCTGCCAGAGAATTGGTGCTGCAGATCCTTTGGAACTTTATCAAGCCAACATAGGATCTCACAACCTAGTTTTGGATTTGCATTTCTACAATCTCTTTGACACATTTTTTGTTAATATGAGCGCTGTGGATAATATACAATACATATACAAAAGCAGGGAAGGTCAATTGCAGGCCTTAAACAATTCAAATGGCCCACTTGTTTTAGTTGGTAAGGCAAACATCTATCCTTATTGTTTGTTTGAAGGTGCATTAGATGTTTCACATTTATAAACCTCAATTTTATTTTCATTGTATTATTAATGCGAAATATTCATCGGTTTTATTAAAGACTACTCTCCATTGGGCTTTGCTGATGACTAACATCTACTATAAATTGATTGATCACTTTTTGTGGGATTTTCCCTTCTCATCACCTTTTTTTCATTTACAATACTTGAAGATTTGATGTTTCATAGTTATAGACCTCAATTCTTAAAATCCTTGTATGCATAAATAAACTTTTCTCTACTTGCAAATCCTTGTTTTATCAATTATCCTGTTCTAGGTGGCCATAACTTGAAAGTGGACTAATTTTCAGGAGAGTGGGTGAATGAGTGGAACGTGACAAACGGATCCAAAAATGATTATCAAGACTTTGGAAAGGCACAGTTAGATGTCTATAATGCAGCTTCCTTTGGATGGTGCTATTGGACTCTAAAAAATGACAGAGAGCACTGGGATTTTGAATGGAACATTAGAAACAACTATCTTCAATTAGGTAAACAATATAGATTTGGTGACACTGCCTCTATTGCATGTCATTTGCTATATCTAAAATATTTTAATGAACCTATATATTTTCTGCAGGAAACTCACCTAGGAAATGGAGCTTGAACATTCTAGGATTATTATTAGGATTGGCATGCACCTGGTTATGTCTTCCATTTTTGTGACGCAACTTTTACCAGGATTGGAAGCATATTTTATGCAGCTATTTCTTGGTTTTTTTTTATTATCTACTTTTGCATCTTGTTCATGTTGTTGGGAATTGCAGAATGCAGTAATATGTGGAATGTACAAAATTTCTGCATGCTGCCCATTCCATAATTTTCATAGCCACATTTCGTGCAAATAAAGCTAAGACTATACTATGATATTCAAAGTCCTCTTTTATAAATCTGGCAATTGCGTCCTACAATTGTCCTTTTTAGACATACAGGTTTTTTTTTTACATATAAAATTTCCAAATTACCCTTATTTTGACTAGTCTTTTTGAGAATCCTTATTTTAGAGGTTACATTTCAAAATACTCAATCCGAAGGAATGTATATCTGAAAGTCTGAAATAGAGTCCCTCCAGAAAATACTTTTGGATTGGGTATTCCATGAGAGGGAAGGGTAGTTTAGGAATTTTTTAAAGTATGATGGGTGTATGGGGAAATTAGAAAGGTAGATTAAGTACTTGCCTATAAGTCATTATATATTACCATATGATCCAGTTATTCAGTCCTTGGGCCCTTAGTTGGACTGGGCTGAAAAAATAGGCCCAGGTTTGAGGTTGAGCCCACCTAATACAGGGCAACCTCATAAAAGGGCACTGTTACACGTGGTTCATTCGGATCAAACGACTTGAGGAATCTAAAACAACTCATACATGCAATTAGATACCCATTATGAAGAATGCCCCACATCTTAAAAAATAAAAATAAATAAATAAAATCTTCCACTCATCCTTGCTCTTTCAAATATTAATGATGATGGGGAATTATATAAATTAATCATTGTGATCTCTGAAATTTAATTCTATGCTCGATATCTTTCGGCATCTGATTTTTAATACGAATTTCTAAAGCTGTATGCATGGGTAAAATTTTCTCCAAGATTGCTTAATAGCAATAACTAATAAGAAGAATATTATGACCTGTCAATTATGCGTAAACATTATTAAAATCAAGCCATAATATAGACGGATATATATTGCCTTCTTTTTTCTTCTTTTTTTTAAATCAGCCTATATTTTCAAGTTAATCTATTATAGAAGTTGCAAATTAGAGTTATCTGCTGACATGGCCATTAAAAAAGTTGATACACTTGACATGTCAGTCTCTGGACTTTCATGATATCGTGATAATAAAAACTTCAAGGCAGTAATAACTTTAACGAACAAGAGAATAAGGAGTGAATGTAGAGGCTGGCTCAGGATTATAAAGTGATATTGATCGACCAATCATTTTTAAAATCATGAGATGGTTAAAAGGACATTGTTATTTTTAAAATTCATATAACAATTTCTATAATAAGAGAGATAGAAAAGAAAAAAATGAATTCAAATAAGACAAGTAATGTGATAAAAAAAAGTATCATAAAAAATATGTGGAAATTTTATGTAAAAATAACATCACACTACTTTAATTAACTGTTTACTTGGATGAAATAGTGAGACCGGATATTTTTCTTGAGAAATTTTTTTGGATATCTTAACAATACAACACACTATTAATACTCTTTATTTTTCTTTATTTTCTTTTTCATATCACATCACATCATATTATATATTATATTTATATTTTTTCTCTTTTCTCTTTTTCTTTTGGTACCTGCTGGTATGAAACATTTGTACAAACTCATTTTTCTTTTCCTAATGCATTTTGGGAAGGGAGAAATTATTAAAAGATTCTGGATAACTTCATTCCTAACTAATCTTTCGACCTATAATCAAATTTTATTAATTTTTTTCATAAATTAAAAAATATAAATTATATCATGTAGTGATTAATTGAGATTATGAACATTTGATAGTTCAAGACTACTTATGAAGGGAGTTGTTTGGGGTAAGAAGTGAAGCTAAAACTAAAAAATTGTTAATTGTATAACAGTATTCACTTAGAATAGATTTTTTTTTTTTTACATTATTATTCATTCATGAATTGTTACATAAATGTTAAAATTGTTAACTCTTGATTATATGATCATGTTCAATAGAATAAAAATGAAAAGTATTAATATTCAGACCAAACCAAACAGTGGTAAAAGGAAAATATATTAAAAGTATTATTGGGTGGAAAGACAAAGACAGTTCTTAATTTCTGCTACAAGAGAGGGGAAAAAAGCCAATAGACTAACTAATAGGCTTGAGGCTCCCTCTCCTAAATTGTCACATTCTGTCCTGTCTAACACAACCAACAAAAAAAAAACCACAAGAGTACACTTCAAACTCTGCTTACATAGCATAAGATAAAGCCATGCATGTCAGGTCTGACAGGCCGGCTCAAAAAGAGGGTAATATGAAAGTTGAAACAACTTTGAATATATACATAACAATAAATAAACTTAAGAAAGTTCACCTAGGCCTGAAAAAGAAAATACTAAGCTCTTGACCAATGCTTCCTTCTGGATCAATCAAATGGAAAGACTCACAATTGGATGAGCCACGAACCCTTTGAAAGTTTGCTCTAAGGTACATAAGCTCATCCTCCTTGCAACTGTTCATAACACCAGTCCCCACAGCAACACAACGCATCAAACTCAGTGCTTCAAAGTCACCACTTGAAGGCCTACGTTTCACTGCATACCCCACTTTCCTCCCATTGCAGTACATGCTCCACAAAGGCGTGGAAAAAAGGTTGTTGTTGTTGTTGTTGTTGTTGCATGCTCCTGTGGTGCCACTCTCTAGCACAATTCTCAGTGCCCCACCTCTCATTTCCTTAGCCAAAACGCTTGTGGGAACTGAAAACTCTAGCAGAAGAATAGGGTTGCTAGAGTTAGCATTAGCCTGGATGCAAAAACTTACCTTTCCTCTACGGTATCCGAAGATGGTGCCAGTGACTGTGGTTGAAGTTGAAGACATCATGAGTTGTTGTGGATTATGGTGCTTTTGGAGACACCTTTTTTGGTACTGGTCTTGTTCTTGTTGTTCTTCGACGAAGGTGCAGTTGCAAGTGGGGATGAGAAGTTCCATGAGGGAACGTAGGAGCCTCCATGATCTCACTTGTTTCTGGCAATCCACAGTGGTGACTCCACTGCTCATGCTGTTAACACCAACTGTGGCTATGTAAGCCATGTTTAACTTGTTTTCTTTCTTGGTTCTCTTTTGTGCGGTGAGGGCTGGTTTAAATAATATGGTACATGTGTTTGGGATGATGATGATAATTTTAGTCCTTTTTCTCTTTTTCTTTTTATGTTCTTTGGTTGACCTCATGGTCCTCATCAACACTGGTTCTACAGGAATCTAGTGTTTGATTGGTTTGTAGTGATGCTTGTTGGGTTTTTCTTTTGTCACCAACTGGTGTGTTTTATTTGAAAAAGAAATGTACTTGTAGAATACTTTTATATACAGATTTGTATACAATGGAGAGAGATCGGAAAAGTGTGAGATAAGATAATTAAATCTAAGGATCAAGATTCTTTTATGTATCTATGTGGAGACACAGAAAAATAGGAAGAAAATGAAATATAAACAACTGACACGAGGGATGATTAGATGTAATAAAATAAGGTTTAGTTACCTTTTTGATAGTTATAGTTTTATATCATTTATTATTTATAGTTAAAAATGTTTTTATTTTATTTTTTTAATATACTATTTTTTTTTTCTCTTTTTAATCTATATTGTCTATTATTATAGGAATTAAATAAAAAGTAAAGTTTATGTAATTATATAAAAATTAAAAAAATATATATATGTATAAGAATTAAAATGAAATATTTTTAATTATAAAAATTTTAAAAATAATGTTCTTAGACTAAAAACAAAAGATAATTATACCTAAAAATAAAGAAGAGTGTCAATGGTATGTGTGAAAATGTTAGGTGTCCAAGAGTCAGACATCCGGGTGTGTTTTGGTTCCACATTCTAGATATGATTTTTTACATTTACTTAAAAGTTATTAATTATAACTTTTAGGTTTTATCACCCTAAAATTAACTAAATAATGAAGAGTCAAATAATATATGTAGACATCTAGATTTAAACTTTACTTTTCTGTAAAAAAAATATATTTAAATTTTGTTGTGGTTATTGCTAAAAGTATTATAAAAAAAACTCACATTTTGTAGTATAATTGACATAATTTTTATTTTTTTCATCGTATTTTTAAACACACATGCAATGAAAGATAAAGAAAAGGATATTATAAAAAATGTGATACAAATAATATAACTCATGATTTAACATTCATTTTTTTAGCCATCATAATTTAGCATTCATCCGAGTGGATTATGATGCAACCAATACAATAATGTCTCTTTTTGTCCTGTTTTCTTAATAATGTGGATTTTTTTAATTTTTTAATGGCCCTTTTTCACTTTTTCTTTGATTCCTTATGTATTTTGTTGGGTTTATTTTAGTTTGTGGACGCAAGTCCTTGAGCACGATGGGGCAACCATGGCTGAAAATCTTATTTACGAGAATAATTGGGGTGTCCCAGCTTTCATTTATGGCTGATTGATGAGCTTTTTTCATTATTTGAGAAGAAGAATTGGGATGAAGATTTCCGTACGACCATAAAATCAATTAATATTCGCAATCTAATCATTAGTCTATATTAGATTTGGGCCAGAGCATGTTCAAATATACAACTGTTCAACAACTACTAAATATAAGTATATGTCTTCATGCACAACAAATGCATAGAGCACTCAAGACTACTACTTTCCTATTGTCAGGTGTCACTATGTTAAATTTAGTCCATTTAAAATGTTTTTTCATTTGTTGTGAGGCTAAAGAAGATAATGGAGGTGTGTAGATGGTTGCATGTGATAGTAGAGTTGTTGGCCTAAATAAATAAATCACTTTAAATCTTTTTAGAATGTTCAACTTATTAATAGGATTCTAATTCGGTCTTAGTTTTGATAACTACCCTATAGAAAGGTCAACACTTAGAACAACCTAGAGAAAAAGACAACAGAAAGTAAATGGGCATGTAATGTTATAATCAAAATAGCAAGAAATCATACCGAAAACGGTCTCATTAAGAGGTATCACTAGGAATCATTGCAAATTCCAATAGTTTTGAATTGGTCAACACTCATGTTGGTCACTAATGACGGAGACAAATTCAGCATGGATAATTTTAAGAATTAATCACCTATTGTCAGTTTAAAGTTTTTTTACATTAACAATCAATTATATCTTTTAGTTGTGGCATGTCACTATTAAGAGTAAAATGTGTTTACAGTGACATGGTATAATTAAAAGATATAATTGATTGTCAATATAAAAATTTTTTACACTGGTAGTATATAGGTGATTAACTCTAATTTTAATATTTTTCATTCTAAATGTCACTATTATAAGATAATAACGAAATTATGATTTTAGAAAGAATGTTATACAAAACTAGCATTCAATAAATGATTATTAAAAAATCCAAAGTATTTTTTTAATAAATAAAATGATATATAAAAAATGATACTCCATAATATTAAACAAAAATTCAATACGATGAAAATTTTCAAATTAAATATTATCCACTTATTGTAATTAAAATTTGATAGTTATCAATTTAACTTAAAATTCTTACTTGGATTTATTAGAAAGATTTTATTTCTAACATCAAGAAGTTATTTTGGTTTTTTTAAAAAACAAATAAATTACATCATAACTAATGATATGATAACTTCAATACAACATAAATATATGAATACATATGTCAAGTAAAACCTTTTTTTCTATACTAGTGTATTCTTTGGCCAAAAACTAAGAAAATTGCTCAAAATACTAAAATTTACTTAATAGATTGACCTCATCCAATAGATATTTGTTTATGTACAAAAATTCAACAACAATAACTGTAAATGTGTATATATATACTTATATTTTTTTATCCCATCGATGCACTAGTGTAGTACACTAACCTTCTTTTCTCATTTATAAGGCCCTACCCCATAAAGAAAGAATTGTTTGTGTGGGAAAGGAGACCCACCAGAAGCCGGCACTATATCTGATGTCTATGTCCTGTTTTCATAATGGCATGTGGGAGGAACTTTGGAGGCCAAGCGTGGTATGTGGAAGCCAAAATCAATTTCATTGGTGTTAGCTTTTGAGTCTGGTTGCTCCACTCTTGTCCTCCTTTTCCCTTCCCTTGCGACCCCCTTACTTATAAAAGACATGAGCAAACATTCCTCCTCTCCTCCTTTTCCCCTTATTGCAGAAGCAAGGGACCCATTCTCTACATATATGTTCCCAAATAAATTCCCCAACTCTCCATTACAAGACTAAAAGTTATACACTCAAAATCTTAATCTATTCACCTATATATTTATAAAGGACATATCATCTTACTTTTTAAAAGATCAATATATTTCTTTACTTTATTCTAACTTTTTTTCTCCTCAATCTATTTTTTAAGGATAAAATCTATAATTTATAATAATATATAAAGAAAATATCACTTTTTAAAGAATAATTATATTTCTTCACTATAAAAAAATTATTTTATAATGACCAAATATTTATTATTTAAAATTACTTTTACTCATATGTATATTCTCATAATTGTTAAAAGCGTAATATAAGTTATAATGATATATAATGTAACGTAGCAAGTTGTTTCACAAGGTCTAAAAGTTCAATATAGGTGATTTAGTAACCTAGAACGGGCCGTTCCCAAACTGGAACGAGGCGTTCCATCTACTAAATTGACTTGTAAAAAGTAGTTGAGAACGGACCGTTCTAGAGGGAGAATGAGTCGTTCCAAATCTCAAAACGGGCCGTTCCGGAAGGAGTACGGGCCGTTCTGGATGGAGAACGGGTCGTTCTGGATGAGTCCCAGAATGGGCCGTTCTGCATGTAAATTTTGTATGTGATGAAGGGGTGCAGAACGGGTCGTTCTGGATTTGGAACAGGGTGTTCTGGCCACTTCGGAACCTCTATAAATAGGGGTTGGTGGTTGAGGAGAAAGTGAAGTTTTTAGAGAGAAGTTTTAGAGATAAGGACTATGGGTCTGTGAGCTCCTTTCTCTCCCAAATTTTTCTGTATGATTCTTTTTCTCCTTTAGATCACTAATGCCTTCTGTCTTTTCTTGAAATTCAGATTTAGGAAGCTTGCTTTGGGAGGATTGAAGTTCCGGGTTGAGCTTCGGAAGGGAATTCTACTTCTTCTCAGTTATTGGCTATTTTGAGCCAATCTTCAGGTGAGGGAAGCTAGAATGTAGGTTGTTTAATTTCAGGAGAGTTAGGGAAGCTTTATGCATGATGTTCTTTTGTTGAAATAGTTGAGTTGTTGGGTGCTTAAGTTGATTTATGCTGTTTATATTGTTGAAGTTGTTTATAAAGTTGTTAAGTTGCATTAAGTTGATATTGTATTGATTACAGTTGTATGATTGAATAAGAAGTTGTCAAGCTGGTATATAATGTCTATTGTTGTATTATTGTAAGTTGTCTATTGTTGTTAAGATGTATATTGTTGTAAAGTTTTTAAGATGTCTATTGCTGAAAAGTTGTATGTTGCTTAAGTTGTTAAGTTGATTAACTTGTGATGATGAGTTGTTGATCACTAGGACTAGGGGATATGTTTTCGAAGTTGCCCATCCCATTGTGTGGATTGAGATAGTTCTGGTGCTCTGAGAGCCCAATTTGTTGAAAAACCCCCCTTGGGGAAGTTGTCCCTTAGAGTGGATGTTGTATTGTTCTCCTCTAGGACTTAGTTGATCCCGTGTGTGGGCAAGGTCGAGGCACACGTGTACAAAGCGACCACGATATAGGGGTCAGGCTGAGCTATACCGATTACAAGCGGCCAGATGTTTATTGTTGTAAAGTTATTATGGTGTCTATTGTTGTAAAGTTGAAAAGTTGGGGACATATGGTGAAGATACATGTCTTATGTTGAGATACATAGTACTAAGGTAATAAATTGAAAGTTGTTTTAAAGTTGAATCCCTTAGTACCGTGTGGGCGACATGGAAATAGTCGATCCATGTCATGGTTGAATGACCAATTTGAGTAAGGTATCTAGTTAGAGATGTAGTCTTTGACTAGGTACTGGAGGGTGCGTGGTACTTGGAGGACAGTGAGTGGGCTAACTCCATATGTGGATTGGTGATGCTAGCCAAGGCCATGGTAGGCTCATACCCAAACCCTTTTGTCCTGACAGTAGTACTGGACCTTCGAGTCTAAGTGGCACACCTGAGCAATCGACTATTATTGTTTATACCTGGTTCTCTTCGGAGTTCCTAATGTTGTTCTATACCTGACCTGATTGAGATAGGTCAAATGCTGGATTCGGTAGGGTTTATGCCACCTAGACTGCTCAACCTCAG